CATATGAGCTGCTTATATATTCTGGAGATCAAGCCTCTGTTGGTTTCATTTGCAAAAATTTTGTCCCATTCTGTAGGTTGTCGTTTTGTTTTACTTATGGTTTCCTTTGCTGTAAGTCTATCATTTCTTTCTCATTTATTAGTTGAAAAACTTTTATAAAGATATACTTTCCCTCATAACTCTTTACCAAGTGGTTCAGTTTATAAAGGAGAGGCAAAATATATGTCTAATTGCTTCTTATCAGTTTTCAGGGTAATGAACTGGTTCCTTTTCATTCCTGTAATTTTTAAAATATTTTTTTGTTAGTTTAGTTTTTTTTCCTGGAAGTTGGTTGGAGGTAATTAGGTTTTATTTATTTATTTGATGGAGGTACTGGGGATTGAACCCAGGACCTCTTGCATGCTAAGCATGAGCTATACCCTCCCCCAAATTCCTGTAATTTTTAATAGCATGTAAAACTCAAGGATTTAAACATCTTTGAGGGGTCTTAATCCATTGCAGTTATTATTACCAGAGCTCAGAGAGTCTCAGTCTGTCCAGTGGGAGCCTCTTCCAGTTGGCTTCTAGGTCTTTTTGACATCACCGTAACAGTCCTGGACGGCTTCCATGCTGTTTGGAATGACAAGAGGTCCCACGCTCATCTCAGACTTTTCTTTTGCAGACATGAAATCAGCCATTTCTCCAAGAGGACTTGATTTCTTTCAGTGAGAAATGGTATTACAAGACCACAATTTTGTCACTAAGGGATATTTAGGGAACAGAGCTAAGAAATATATACACAGATTAAAAGTAAGATACCCCATGAATTCCACTTAGATTAGAGTCTGTGGAGCTTAACCTCTTCTCAGTTACATCTGCATCTTCTTTCTTTCATACTTGAGAACCTAATTCACAAAAGATACAAGAGATCATAGAACATCCTGTCAAAACGTCTTGGTTTTATGCCATACTACATACACAGTAGACTCAGAATAATAATATGAATACTACCACCAGTATGATTCCTGAAAGCATGACATTTTGCCCGTTCTCCCTCCATCATTTTTGAAGTGGTTGCACTAGATCCACATTGTCACAGAATGCAGCCATTACACACCATCTCCCTCTCAGCCATAGGCAAGTGTGTGTGTGTGTGTGTGTGTGTGATGCGTATATATTCATGTGTGTATTATGTACACACCTCACCCCCGGTATGTAAGTCAGTCCTTCTTTAGTCATTTTGATAATCTGAAGCTTGATTTCTAGTAGACTCCTCAGGAGAAGCTCATGAATAATTATTTTCTGAGTTCTGGCATGTTGATAACAGTTGGTGCCTTCGATACTGAAAAGTCAGTTTTGCTAGATACAAAATCCTTACACGTTTCTTCCTTGAGTATCTTAAATGTGTTACTTCATATTCTTTTCTTAAAGCAGTACTGTCAAAAAGCTTGATCATCTAAATTTTTTCTTAACAGTCACATGCTTTTTTTTTGGAGGTCCAACAAATTTTTTTCCTTTTTCTTTAAACTTTAGTACTTTTACCATTTGGGGTCAATGTTCTCAGGTATAGGGTGTACTTTTGGCTTCAACTATTTTTTTTTAATTCAGAAAAGTTTCTTGAACTGTAGTTTTTAGTATTCAGATTTTCCCCCCTCTGATTTGGTTTATTTTTCATGAGTTCCTGTGTCAGATCTCTTTTGCTTGTCTTTAATATTTGTCTCTTTCTCTGACATTTTAAAAACATATTTCTTTTTTTTTAACTTTTCTTATTTTCATCTTCTCTCAAGAATTACCTGTTTTGTTTGTTATTATGTCCTTTCTATTTAGGTCTTTGCTACTGAAATTGATTTTTCTTTTATTCCTAATTATTTCCTGAATTCTGTTGCCTCATTGGTGAGTTTTTCTAGTCCTCATTTATGTGTTATTTTATGTCTCACATAATTTTCTTTCTTTCATTTTAGTTTTTGATCTGTTTTCTGGCCATGATTTTGTTCTTCTTTTTATTGTCTGTGCAGGACTTTTCTACTCCTTCTGTTTCCTATAATAACTTGGCATGGGACTTGACCTTGATAATTTTCTGTTGCTTATTTGTGAAAATAAGTTTGCCTGAGCTTTTCGGATGAAGCTGATTTAGGGTGGCTTTTCTGACTTCATGCTTTTCCGTTGTTTTTTTCGGTAGACTTCAAAAGTAAGTTGGCTTGCTTTGTTTTTGAATATTTACATCTGGTCCTTTCAGAAGAAATCTGTGGATCCCTGACCTTGACCCTCTCTTTCTTTGGTCTCTGTTGTGCCTGTCTTGATCAATTTTGATTCCACTCCCAGCAATTTCTCCTCACTGTAGAACCCTCATCTAGAAAGGCACTCAGGCGGGTCGGGTTTGAGAGTCCGTAGGGTGTAGACCGTGCCAGCCAGGGCCCTTCTGTCCTTCCTGTGGCCCCCACGTGCTCACATGCTGCCGAAGTGGGCAAAACCCAGGTGCTGTTCTCAAACTGGCCCCGCTGTGCTTTCTAGTCACGACTTAGCTGGTGAGGGATTTTTCTGTTCTCAGGTCGTCAGCCTCTACCCCATACTCTCCTCCTTTTCCTCCCTGTATAGACATAGGTACCAAGTAGATCTTGTGGCTGAGGGTGATTTGTCTCCATATACTTGTGTATTGGAGTTCATGAGTATGCCTTGGTTTGGTTTTGCTATCCACAACACCTACTTTTATGTGGGGATTGAGAAAGATCTAAACACTTAATCAAAAAAGAAAACTTCTCCAAGTTCTATTTGGTTCTTTTTCAACTCTCGCTTTCATTTTGTGGCACTTCTTGCTCCTTTCTCTTGCTTCTAACTCCTTTTATTTCTTTCAAACTGTTGAACATTCTAATTGTATAATCAATGCATGAAGAGTCAGTATCTGAGATCTCGGTTGGTCTGGTCCTATTTGCTTTTCCCTACAGATGGTCATGAGGGTTCATTTGGAAGTGTGTGTGCATTCAGATTTGGTCCTTTCTCTGTGAGCATTATCAGAAGCCCAGGTTAAGGGACACTCTTCCTGGAAGATACGTGTTGCTTCTTCCAGGTGCCTAAGGATGTTGCTGAAAAAGACAGATCTCGTTGTTTGCCTTTGCAGAGAAGTCATCTTTCCCTCCTTAGCCCTTTTCCAGGAGCATAACTGAGCCTCCATCCCAGTTCTCCCTTGCCCTTACACACCCACCCACCCCCACACACACGTTGCTAGGTCAGTAAGGTCTTTCCAGTTTCAACGTCGACCCCCCGCTCTCCTTTACTTCCAGCCCTAGAGTTAGCGGGTTTATCCATCATTCCAAAGGAAATTTCTGTGTTTCATTCTGCCTTTTCAGACGACCATCACAACGTTCATTATCTTGCAGAAAATGGAAGTCACTTGTTTACTTTTTCTGAATAACACAAAGGCCTATGTGTAGAAACCTGACAACTACTTTCTAGAATATCTCACAAGCCTAAAACAGAGCTCTGAAACAGAGTTTTGCCTTTCGCACCCCCCCCCCCATCTTTCCGATAAACGTCTTCAGCAGCAGAACTTGGCCTCTTTGTCCGCTGGACGGCCCGCTCCTTTCCTGGCTGAAGCCCTCCGACAGTTTTCCCTTTAGCTTGCGGGTGTGATCCCCGCCACCACGTGGGCCTTCCTGAGCGTCCTGACGCAGCACGCCTGCCCCGGGCACGCAGCCCCTCTCAGCTCCGGCTCCTTACACTTCCGACTCAATCAGCAAGCTGGGTTCACTCCGTTTCCTACGTAGCCCTCAAGTCCGCCTCCTCTTTTTCATCTCCGTGAGCATTTAATCCAACGCCTCAGCACGTCCTGCCTGGAAAGTTGCAGGCGCCTCGCACAACGGCGGAGGCGCCCACCTGGCCTGCGCGCATCCCACCTCGCCTCTCCTGCATCGTCCCCTGCAACTCAAAGCTCCGAAGCTCCTGGAACCCGGCGGGCTTCCGGCATCTCGGCGGCCCCCTCCTCGCTGCGTGCCCTGTCGGTGACTGCCCGGGCTTCCTCCGCCACCTCGCCGGGGGTCAGTTTCTCCTGGAAGCACCCCCCACAGCCATCCCTTTCCCGAGGGGACCAGTCGCCCCGGCTCGGCGTTCTCTCCTTGCCCCGCCTTCCGTGAGCTCAGCACCCCGCTTTCCAGTCAGGCTCCCTCCCGCCACAGCTGGTAGCTCTGAGGGCGGCCGCTCTGTCGCTCCTGGTCCCCAGAGCCAGGTACGACGTAGCCATACCCGAGCGAGGCTGCGTGCTCAGGAAATGCCTTGCGAACCCGGGCTGTCTGTGTTGGGTGTGACTCGACCTCGGGTCTGTGCTAGGAAGTAAGTGTCCTTTGAGTAAGCGCAGCAACACTGTGAACCCAAGGCGGGGAAGAGCAGGTGCACCGGCCTGCAAGCAGCAGCAGTCTTGCCTTGAACATGAATATGGAAAAGATTCTGCATCCTGAGGCCGTGAGCCCTGGGCCTCCGGGGACAGGCCAGCTTCACGCGGGCCCATCAAAGGTACAGGTCACAGGGATCATTTTATGAGCAGGAAGTGAGCTCTTAAGCCCCAGAGCATGGATATGTTATGTGTTAAATCTAATTTGGCCTCAAAGGACATTACAAGGTGGCCCCTGAATCCAATAAATCATAAAAGGGGGGTGGGGGGGGAATTGCTCGAGAAAAGCAAGAAGTCAGAGTTCAAAACCACCGAATTCCTCAGTCTCCAGCCGCCCGGAGGGCTGCCTCCACGATCCTTCCTGGGCTCCGCGGCCCTGAGGACGAGGTGACAGTCTTTCACCACCCTCTGCAGTGGGGTCTGTCTTGAGCCTTCTGCCGCCTGCTGTGCCCTTGGCCCCAGCCCCACAGAACGTCCCCGGTTCTGTTTCTGGAACAAACCTCGTGGCATCGTGAGTCACAGCCCTTCCCTCTCCCGCCCTCCGCCATCGGCAGCCCCGCTCACTCAGGACAAAGAGTCTTTCTCCTTCTCTGACCAGTCCCCGCAAAACCCGGTGATTCGGTTTCACGTCGCTGGCTGAGTACACTATCTGGCTGACGGCTGGCCCTTCGTGCCAAGCTTTGGGTCTGGCAGTCACTTCCTCTCCCGCCCTCTCTGCACCCCTGTGGCCGCCTCGGGCTGATGGAACGGCCGCTAATGCGCCCCATTCCTGCGCTCATGCTGACAGACGGATGGATGGACGGCTGGACGATCCCCAGGACGGGTTCCTCCTGACAACTGCTCTCTCTGGAGGTTTGGCTGGATTTCATCTGTTGGCTGGCGGGAGGGGATATTAAACTCTTTGAGTAAATCTTCTCTGTGAAATATTAAAGAGAGCAAACCATTTGTTCCCACAGATAAACTGTGAATCCAAGCATCTAAAAAATCAAAGCCAGATTAATAAAGGAGTGACCAGGGGCCAGTATCTTCAAGTTCTAGGTGGAGCTTAGGACTTGGCAGGTCCCAAGGCTTTGGGAAAACATTAATGCCTATACTGGGAATGCGCACCAACCAAAATACGAGTTTAGCCTGAAGAATCTTTGTATGTGCTTATTTAGTTTCAGTTCAATAATTTTAATTAGTGTCTCAGTTAACAGTACAAATATTAGGAGGATAAAGGTAGATACCACTTTCCGGGCACAGAAGATAGACTTTATAGTTTTAAATAAAGTAAAAGATGAAGAAAAAATTGAGGGAAGGGAAACATAGAACTTTAATTATGACCACAGGTCACTTTAAAATAGATACATTTCCTTCTTACAGTTTGGTCAAGAAGGTTAAATAATTTGCCAAGCACGTAATAGTTGTAAGCAAAACCTTCTCTATTTCTTTAGCGTTTCAGTTGTTTGGAGTGAGGCCTTTTGGCCGAGCGTGTCCTAATCCGTGCTGGGAATTCCCATCAGCTGGTGCTCTGACGTGTGTTTGGGGGAAGATGTGACTCCCTGAACAGTGCGAACTGAGCTGCGCCTGCGCCCGGGCTGTTTCAGAGGGGCCTCATCTCACCTGACCTTCATCCTGGGCTCTCAGGTATCCAGACAGGAGTCACCATGACTACTGACAAGGACTCCTTGCTTGGGCAAACTTACGCTAGTCTCCTGAACCAGCTCCGAGGCCATCGGTCACCTTGTAAATCCAGTTTAGCAGGAACCCTGCGAAGCCGGTTTAATCAGAACCTCCACTCTTGATACCTGATGAAGTTTCTAATCCCTCAGGTGATGGTTGAGCACCTGGAGCCCCCAGAGGGGGCTGCATCCCTGGCCACACCTTGATGGGAAGCCTGTGAGACCCATTCTGACCTCCAAAAAGGAAAGGGGAAGCGAAGCGGAAGAGAAGGTACACAGAATGAGCTGAACATAGAAAGGCAAAATGAAGGAACAAAGAGACACGAAGGAGAGGAAGACAGACCACGTTGGAGGGAGGGCAGGGGAGATAAGAGGTTGATGGGGTCTTGGATTTTGGTTTGCAAAGAGCTTTCCGATCTGAGAGACTTGACCCCCTAGAGGAGTTCCGAGCAGGTGTTTGTACCCTCATTTTAGAGAGGAGGAAATTCAGGCCTTGGATGTTTAATGCAACCAAGGAAACTTGGGTTAACGTGCACATGCGGAAACAGGAGATAGCCAAAACCCAGCATGCAGACCGCTGTGTGCGGGAAGCTTCGAGGACAATTGGTTTTGAGTAGGTAGGTGCCTGAATTTTTCTTTTCAAAATGGTTGGTAACATTACTGAACAAACATACAAACAAATATCAAAGAAATTAATCACGGTCCTGCTACCAGACTCAAATCACGTCTGTTACCTTCCTGTGTTTTCACTATACGTGTGTGATTTTGCTGCCTTCTGATTGTAGTCTAAATGAATTTCCTGTTTTTTTACTTCATATCATAAACAGTTCCCGTACTGTATCAGTCTCCATAATTACAACAGCTACCCGACATTTCATTAGGCTTCTACATAACTTACTCAATAACTTCCACATTGTTCAATGTTTGATTGTTCCCAGCTTCTCTGCAGTATAAAGACTGCAGTGAGCATCTCTGGGTACACGTTTGAGAAGAATTGTTATTAAATCTTTAAATCTTTGATAGCATCCACCAATGAAGCCTTCTGGTTCTGAACCTTTGTTGGGAGGTTTTAAGTTATTGATTCAATGTCGTTACCAATAATGAGATTGGTATCTGGTTCTTTCTAACTCAGTCTTGATAGGTTGTATGTTTCTAGGGATTTCTCCGTTTCTTTTAGGTTGTCTAATTTGTTCGCATATAATTGTTCAGAGTAGCCTCTTATGATCCGTTGTGTTTTGCGATGTCAGTTGTGATGTCTTCACTTTGGCTTTCATTTGAGTCTTCTTTTTTCTTAGTTTAGCTAAAAGTTTGGCTATTTTGCTTATCTGTTCAAAAATCATCTCTCAGTTTCATTGATCTTTTCTGTTGTCTCTTACATCTCTATGTCATTTACTTCTGCTCTGTAAGTATTATTTTCTTCCTTCTAATCTTGGGCTGTTTGCCCCTATTTTTGTAGTTCCCTGTGGTAAAAATGTTGGTTGTTTATTTGAGATCTGCCCTGTTTTGTAGTGTAGGCATTTATCACTATGAACTGCAAACCATGAGTTTTGTTAGTGCTGCACACCACAAGGTTTGGTACTTTTTCTTTTTTCATTTGTCTCAATTAAAAAAATTTCTTTGATTTCTTGTTAAACCTATTGGTTGTTCACTAGCATGTTGTTTAATCTCTACAAATTTGTGAATTTTCCAGTTTTCTTCTTGTAATTGGTTTCTAGTTTCTTGCCATAGTGGCTGGAAAAGACGTTTGATGTGATTTTAGCCTTGAGACTCATTTTGTGCCATAATATATGATCCCCACCCTGGAGAATTTTCCGTGTATGCTTCAGAAGAATGTCTCTCTCTTGCTTTTGGATGGATTGTTCTATACGTACGTGTTAAGTCCATCTGGTGTAATATGTTGCTGAAGGCCAACGTTTTCTTCATGATTCTCTGTCTGCATGATCTATCCATTGTTAAAAGTGGGGTATTAAAGTTCACCACTCTTACTGTAATGTTGTCTGTTTCTCCCTTTAGATCTGTTAAAATTTGCCCTGTATATTTAGATGCTTCTTTGTTAGGTGCATACATATTTGCAATGTTATATCCTCTTGATGGATTGACTGCTATACCATTATATGATAAAGACTCTTCTTACAGTCTTTGGCATACAGTCTGTTTTGTCTGCTACAAGCATAGCTACCCCAGGTTTCTTTGGTGTCCATTTGCATGGAATATCACTTTCCATTCCTTCACTTTCAGTGTGTGTGTTTGTCCTTACAGCTAAAATGAGTTTCTTGTAGGCAGTATAAAGATGGGTGTTGGTTTTTTATTCATTCAGCTCTGCTACATCTTTTGACTGAAGAATTGAATCTGTTTACACTCAGAGTAATTGTAGATAGGTATGTACTTATTGCCATCCCGTTAATTGCCACCTGGCTCTTTTGCAATTCCTTTGTTCCTTTCTTCTTCTCTTGCTCTGTTCCTCTGTGACATGATGATGTTCTGAAGCGGTATGCTTAGATTCCTGAGTTAGGTATGTATGTGTGAATCTACTCTGTCTTTTTGGTTACCATGAGGCTTACATAAAACAACTTATGTTGATAACAATATATATTAAGCTGATTACAATTTTAGTTTGAATGCATTATAAGGCTCTACATTTTTACTCTTCCCCACCACTTTTTGTGTTTTTATGTTTTTGATATCACAATTTGCACCTTTTTATATTCTGTATCCCTTGACAAATCATTGTAGTTATAGTATTTTTTTTTACCACTTTTATCTTTTAATCTTCATATTAGCTTTATAAGTGATTAACCTTAATTTTACAACATTAGATTTTCTGAGTTTTACTACATATTCACCTTTATCAGTGAGATTTATATTTTCATACATTTTGCTGTTACTAATGAGCACCCTCCCATTTCAGCTTAAAGAAGTCCCTTTAACTTTTCTTGAAAGGCTGGTCTAGTGGTGATGAACTCTGTTAGCTTTTGCTTGTCTGGAAAACTCTCTCTCTCCATTTCTGAAGAGTGCCTTTGCTGGATAGAGCATGTTTGGCTGGCACTGTTTTCTTGCAGAGTTTTGACGTGCGTGCCTCTTCCTTCTGGTCTATGTAACACCTTGTTTTTCTCTTAGCTGCTTTTGAGATTTATCGTCTTTAACTTTTCACTATTTAATTAAATTGTGTCTTGGTGCGGGTCTCTTTAGGTTCGTTGTACATAGAGCTCGCTGGGCTTCCTGGGTCTGGATGTCTCCCTCCTTCCCTAGTTCGGAGACATTTTCAGCCTCCTCCTGCCCTGTTCTTGAGGGAGCGTCCTCGTGTGATGAACCTTCTCATTCAACCCTGCCAGCTCGTGGTTGTAACTCAAACCTTTGTGATTGCTCAAGAAGCCTATTTTATTTTTAGTGGCTCCCAGGAGTTGAGGGTATGTCAAGACCTGTTGGTTTCCCAAAGGGGAAGATCTCAGTCAGCACCAAGATCTTGGTGATTGGAAGTCAGACCCTTAGGAAGCAGCTTTAGAGTATGTATACACCCCTCTTTCAAAGGGCAGACTGGGATATGGGCATCTCTGTCTGCTGCCTTTGCACTGAGCCCTGGGGTAATGATCAGTTAAGACCTGGCTCTTTGCTGCTGTTGTATTGACCCTGTGAATGCAAAGCCCCACCAGCCACCAGAGCTGGGCTATCAAGGGATGTGCTCACTGGGCAGTAGCCACAGGCAGTGGCCACTGGGCGAACATGCAAGCTCTGTTCCAGGAGATCTCAGAACATGAAGTGAGGCGGAGGGAGGGAACCAACATGGTGCCCGCTGGCCTCTCCGGTCTCTGGAGAGAATCATGGCAGGTCCCTGGACATGTGTGTTTAGCTAGAAGCCTGCCCCTCAAGCCACAGCTATAATGTAAGCTAAGAGGCCTCTTTCACAGAATGATGTGTGTGTTTGATCTACATTCTACCTCTACACCAGTAAGTTCTGAAACCAGGTGGTATAAATCCCCCAACTTTATTCTTTTACTAAAAAATTATGTTTTCTACTAGGAGTTCTTTGCATTTTCATATAGATTTCAGCATCAGTGTTTCAAATTGTATAAAAAGCCATCTGGTATGTTGATGACTACATTGAATCTATAGATCATTTGGAGGAAAACAGCCATCTCATCAACACCGAGTCTTCTAATCGATGGCCTGGGCGTATTTCTCCATTTCGATTCTTAACTTTTCTCAGCAGGGCTTTGTAGGTTTCAGTATACAGCTCTTACACGTCTTACGTTAAATGTATTTGTTCAGTTTATCTTTAGATGATATTGCAAATGGAACTGCATGCTTAACTCCATATTTGAACTGTTTACTGAGAGTGTACAGAAATACATTTGGTTAGCTTCGTATATAGATTTTGTTTCCTGTAATCTTGCTAAATGTGCTTATTCTACTTCTTCTTTGATTCCTTATAATTTTCTACACATAGTATCATGTCATCTGAGAATAGTTTAACTTCTTCATTTCCAGACTGTATGCCTTTAATTCCTTTTCTGGCCTTAGAATCTCCAACACAGTGTTGAACAGAAGTGGTGAGGGCCAGATACCTTTCAAAACTACAAAAAAAAAAAAAAAAGAATCAGTGTCCCGAGGAACTCTTCAGGCCTGTGTGTTTTGGGTGAGAGATTGCAAACCTGTACTAACTAACTGTGAGAATTGTTGGGAGGGTTAAATGACACACCATGTGGAAAATGCTTAGAGCCCGACTCGCAGCAGCATCCTGATAAGATACTAGCTTTTAGAAAGAGAAGCCTGCCCGGCCTCCGGCAGGCCGACGCCGGGAGTCGGGACTCGGCTCTGAGGACGCAGGCCCGGGCGGCCCCTCGGCGGGGGAGGGCCTGTCCTCCGCAGCCAGCGTGGCGGGGACGGGAGTTCTTCATGGCTTGTCCCCAGCGCAGGTCAGCACAGTGCCGCCGGCCGCCGCAGGAGTTTTGGTGTGATGGGGGCTCTGCCAAGGTACCCGAGCTTCGGCGCAGCCAAGCCCCGGACGCCGCGGGTGCGGCGCGACAGGCTTCCCGCGGTGGGAGGGGTGCGGAGGCTCAGCGGCGCCTGGGCGTGGGTCCCCTCGGCGTCCGCGCGGGGCACGCGTCACACCGACACCGACACCGACACCGAGAGGAAGCCCTGCGTCCTTCCCTCGTGCAGTTGCCTCCTTTCTCGAGCGCTGGTTCTGGAAGTTGATCCCTTGCGCTTGCGGAGGGACCCGACGTTTCTTTGCGCAGAAACAGCAGCTGAGGTGGCTAACAGGAGGGGGACAGCACCGCGAGGAAGTCGCAGTGGGAC